ATTATCTATTCTCTCTTGGTGAGTACAAAGTCTTGTGTTTAATTTACATTCTATTGTAACTTGTATTACCAACCTAAAATATCTTTTAGACCTTAAAACATTTTTGAAATAAATAACTTAAGCTCTTATATCTCTCAACCTTACAAATTTTACATTTCTGTTATAAGTTTCTTTTCTGAACTTAGTAACAAGGAAACCAGTAAGACTATAACTAATTTCTTTAACCCCACCAGAAATCCAAGAAGGTTAAAATATTACCTGAGTAAATAGGAAGCGCAGAATGAGCAATCTCCCAAACTATAGAAATGACAAAGATAGCTGACTGCCAGACAGTCGGCCAAGGCTCCTCTGCAACGCTGGCCAAGAATATCTTATTGACTTTTCTGTGAAATAGGAATTGTGAAGGACTGTACTACCTTGTCTTGGCAAAGTTTTGTAATTGCCTTCTTTTGTGCCCTGCTTGTGCAATTTGTACAGCACACTGTCAGCAGTTGAGACAAGAACAGTTCATTGCCACAAAGAAAGAAAACTCCACATTGAGGTTCCTGATGCCCATCATCCTTTTTTTTTTTTTAAGTAAATTGGTGCTGCCAGGAGAAGTTGTATCTCATTGTCATGAAAATCCTTATGTTATTAAAACATCTTAAATATCATATTCTGTAAATCTTTGAAGTGTTTGAAGACCATCTGTCTATCTAAAATTTATCTCTGTTTGACCTTGAAAACATACCTCACAAGGTATGCTACAAATTTTATTGTTAAATGACTAAGTACTAACCTGTATTTCTTGATTATCCTAGATAGTTTGTAATAATAAATTTCAAGGACTAAAAATTTACATTATATTGCCAAGTGAGCTGTATAGGTAAAATTTCTTAAACAAGAGTAGAGACAAATATACAGAATAAAAATAATAAACTTAAGTTCGTATCAATATATTAAAGTCCATACTAATGTAAAATATATAGTTATAGTTGGTTTTTAGTTTAAAGCAGATTCAATAATTTATCCTTTAATCTTGTCATTTCTATATCCTCCCTTTTTTCAGAAAAAGATTCCTAAATCTAATCTTGTTTGCTTAGTTTCCTCCTTTATCATGGCCAGTAACAACTTGCAATCAATCACCCTAAAGATGATAAACATCCATAATCCATAGAATGACCAAACCCCACCCACTCTACCTCTTGGAATGTGGGCATCTTCTTTTTCCTGTTGTCTGGGGGTGGGGGAGATGGCATCTTTATGGGACCCTGAGAAAATTGGAATAATGGTCAAGCCCTGGAAGAGCTAGTTGTATTAGTCTTTTTGTTTAGTCTCTGTGTGGTAGGAAAGTTTAGATCTTATCTGAAGTCTTGACTGGATAGTCTGTGAGGCTGGATCATCTCAGCTAGCAGCTTTGCAGAGTTTTGAGGAAACTGCAACAGAGGCACTCTGAGAGGCTGGATCATCCGGGCTACTTGTTTTCATTGATGTCTTGTCCTCTTTTCTGAAAACACACAGACATTTAAAGGTATTGTATGTACCTTCATTACCACAAGTATGGAATTGTGCTGTGCACAAGTCAGCTAAAGATGAGTTTTCTCTTCTACGTTTAAGCAGGTAAAAGGCATCTGTAAACTTTATAAGTCTGTTTGGATTGCATAACCAAACTGTAATATAAATCCCTATCCATGCCGTAATAAGTCACGAGACTCTGTAACCAACAAGTTCCATCATGTCTCAGAGCTCTTCTCATGTAGAGGAACATATATGTCATCTGTCCTGTAGTCTTCTTAGATTTTTCTTTTTATATCTGTAGCCAAGATTTTCAGGAGGTCTTCTCTGGTCAGATCTGATCTCTATTAATTTTGAAGAAATATATAGCTTTTTGTTTCCAAAGTAAACAAAGACATAGCCTCTCCCCTAATGCAACATATTTTTTTAACTTCCATTCTGAAGTAAAGACAATCTTAAAATATACATGCTGGTTTAATTTAGCAGCTTTCATACCTAATGTCTCTCAGCAGCTATTGTTAGTTAGCATTTAAAAATTTCAAAGTCAACAAAGGATCCAGGCACCCTGTGTATTTCCCATCTTTATGTGGCTTTTTCCTTTTATATTACTTTACTTTCTCTTTGAGGGCTTTATTATTTTTAAACATTTGTTTATTTTCTATGACTGTCTATACCAATTTTATTTTCTTTCATCAGCTTGTGAGCACATTTTTAGGCATACTATATCTGTTCAGAGGTTTTCTTGGTCTGGAGCTTACTTTCCATTTATCTGCAGCATTTTCTAATCATGTAAGTCAAACCTTAAACTGCTAAGCAGCAGGGCTCTAGTGTCTAACTTCACCCCCTTCATTCCATGAGAGCCTAACCTCATGCCTGCAGGCCCAGCCTGGAGTTGGTCTATCTTCTCAATATGTGGGAAGTTTTGGGGTCCACACCGTGGTAGGCATTTCTACCTAGTCTCCTATCACTGAGTAGCTCACTACTTGGTGCTCATAAACACTATTTAAGTGCGTGGTAACAGGGTACCTTAAAAGAGCTATACCTCTTTGTGTCACTATTACTGAGCCTACCCAACAGACTGTGGTCACCAGAAAGCTTCTTTAGGCTTTGTGTGGATATATATGGTCAGATGTTAGGTGCCATTTGTACTTGTACTTTTCATTGGGACTGCCAGCCCACAAATAATGATCTGGAGACTTGTTACTAATTATGAAAGCTTGGCCTTAGTTTAGGATTTTTTTCCAGTTAGCTCTTATAACTTAATTAACCCATATTTTTTAATCTGTGTTCTGCCGTGTGGCCCATTATCTCATCCCCGTGTTGTATGTTCTGCTCTCTTATTCTGTTGGCACCATCCGCATGCTTAGATTCCTCTTCATCTTCCTGTCTCTCCCTGGAAATCCCACATAACCCTACTGCCTAGTTATCGACTATTGAGCTGTTTACTAAACCAGTCATGGTGTGCACAAGCATTCTGCCATAGAAGTCTGCTGGTATTGGTGGGAAGGGCTGACTTCGGGGAGAGTGATGAGGTAGGAGGGCTTGAGTTCTAGAATTGGTTTGGGAAATGGAATTTAGGGAGTGGGGCCATTCCTTTATACTGTGTGAAGATGTATCACTGTGGTTGATTTAATAAAAAGCTAAATGGTTAATAGCTGGGCAGGAGGACATCTGGACAGAGAAGCTCTGGGAAGAAGAATGGTGGCACCATCAGCCAGATGGAGAGGAAGTAGGACGGGCAGTGCTGAGTAAAGGTAACCAAGCCACATAAGAACAAAACAAAAACATAGATTAAAATTATGGGTGATGTGGAATAATCTTTTTGTACACTGTGAAAATGTCACTCTGATGGGTTTAGTAAAAAGCTGAATGCCCAATAGCTAGGTAGGATTTCCAGGCACAGAGAATGCTGGGAAGAAGGGTGAAGTCATCAGCCAGATGCAGGACAAGCAGCATGGGCATTACAAAGGAAAGTTAACTGAGCCATATAAAAGAATATCGATTAAAAGACATGGGTTAATTTAATCTATAAGAGCTAAAACTAAGCCTAAGCTATTGGCTGAACTTTATTAAGAAGTGTCCATGTGGTTATTTGAATGCTGGCAGGCAGGACAGAGAAAGGCTCACTAGACATGGATTAATTTAAGTTGTAAGAGCTGGTAGGACAAGCCTAAGCTATAAGCTAAGCTTTGTGATCTGGCAGTCCCATTGAGAAAGTTCACCTACAAGGTCACTTAGCCTGTTTTTCTGCCCAGTCTGGCCTGCACCTGAGCAGAGGAAGTATACTGGGGTGTAGAACTTTCTAGTGTCTTAAATTCATGTCCAAGAAGTCTTCTCTGGTGAACACCCCACCCAAGAGACTCAAGAAAAAGAATATGAAACTACTGTTGACAGACAGGCAATCTCTTTACTCCTTCAAGGTGAAGGTGCAAATCATGGATTTATTTATTTTAATTTAGGCTTTGGAATTTAGCTCAGCATAGAGCAGTATAGGCCTAGTAAGCAAGGCCTAAGGTGGGTGGGTTTGAAGAACTAAGTGAGACCACTGGATATCACTGAAATTTGACTCTAGAGATTATCCTCTGGCCTCCACATGTCAGCTCATTCTCTCTCTTCCTGCCCATACATGCTATTTTGGTCTTTAGAGACGAGCGCTTAGTGTAGCCCAGGCTAACCTCAAGTTCACGCTACAGACCCGGCTAGTCTTGAAAAGACTGTGTACCTCTGCCTCCTATGTACTGGGATTGCAGGCTGGGTCACCACACTCATTTCACCTTCAAATCAAAAAACAAGGATGGTTGAGTTAATAAAGAGAAATAATGTATTTGCAATAATCTCATCACGTCTGTCCTACCACAAATTTAAACCGGGGAATAAAGGCAGTGTAAGAGTTCTTTGCCCAATACCAACAGAGCTAAGGACCTTGCTTGAACATATTTACAAATTGAAAATTCCCCACAAAAACTGTTGAGTGACTGCAATGAACATGTTAAGTGCACTCAGAAGTCATTTTAACAGCCGTGCGATTCTGGTGAAATGTCTCTACTAAAGCTGGGCTCTAATCAGAAGTGGTGTGTTCACTGACTGATGCTTCTCCTTTTTTTCTTTCTTTCTCCATTGTTACAGCAATCCAAAGAATTTATCGTACGTCTCAGAGATAAATCAGTGTTACTAGTCTAGACCGGCTTTTATTGTTTCTTTCTCGGCGGGATTCGTCATCCTGTTTCCCTGGCAACAGCAACTGGAAAACCCTTTGGAAAAGCAATCCCAAGTTCTGTAACAGAACTCCTGACATGAAACCTCCCTGCGCGTCGGAGGTTTCAATTCTGGGGCGAACGTCTCGCAGCAGCTTCCCTCCGCACTGGGACCCAGCAGGCCAGCCTGCCTGGACAGTGATCCCAGAGGCGCCTGAGCCTCCGCTGTACGGCAGAGTCCATGCCAAGATGGCCGCGCCCACAAACCATCTCCGCAAGGCGCCGCCATCGAAGCTGCAGGACCCTCTGAAGCGGCGCTGGGGTGGCCGCCACGTCGGCCTCTGACTCCAACCAGGTCCTGACAAAGTCTGGGACGGTGAGCCGGAGGAGCGCGTCAAGGCCGGGCGTCCGAGGCAGATGGCTGCACCCGAGCCCGCGGACAGCGATGCGGTGAGGGCCATAGGATTTGGGGGCGGGTTGGCGGTCAGTAATTGGAGGGTGGCTGGAATCTGAAGACAAGATTTGAGATTTGTGACGTCGATATTAGATAGTCTTTTGGAATGCCGGTGTTCTGAGAGATCTACGTATTAGGGTATTATGGGCATATGGAGTGTTAGGTATACTGCTATGATACCCGTGGTGTTAGCTACCTTAGTCGAGGACTGCTGTAATTTTAAGAAATCACCGTTCTCACGGATCCGCCTAGACAGTGAGGCTTGGGGGCAGGGAACGTCTGTAACTGTCACTGACAGCGATTGAGTCTCCGTCTAGAAAGCTGGCAAGATCAGAAATGAGGGCTTTGTGATGTACCTGAGATGCGCCCTTATAGGGCTTCCTGTAAGGATTAGAATTTAGAATGAATGGGAACAGTCGTGATAAGCAGCTGGGTATTACAGGCTGTGGACTGTCAGAGGGGCAGTGTAGGGTTTTTCGGAATATGTGAACACCAGAGGATGGGGCCTTGGGGTCAGGGGTGGTGGTATTTCCAGGAGTCCGATCAGCAGTCAATGTCTTTCAGAGTTGGTGTTCTGTGTGCTGTGATGGGTAGTGGAATCTTGGAAGCTAATGGGATGAGAGTTGGTGTAATATGAGGTGTTTTATATTGAAGTGCTTATGGGGATGGTAGATTGTTATCTGGGGAGAAAAGATACCAATAATCCTAACTGTCTCATTAGTGACGGGGTTCTTGGTAGGAATTATTAATAATTATTAAAAGTCTTTTATGATTTTATGACTAGAATCCTGAGGTCAAGAGCTTGTGAGGTTGCTGGTCTTAAAGACAAGGCTCTGTGAGGTCACTGACTGGAGTTCAATGGAGGGTATCAATTGTTTTGTGAAGAATAGCGGTTGGGAACCTCTATGGAGGGGATGTATGTGAAGGTTAGTGACTGAGGAATCTTTGGGTGTCAATGATTGGAAAACTGTAGAACAGACTGTAAGATGTGCACCTATTTTAAGCCAGAGAATGTTTTAAGTAGCAACACACAGAGCCAGCCTGTCTTTTAATGTCTGAAATTCTAGAAACAGGAAAGAGACCACAAGATTGCAAATATGAATGTAAGATAGTTTCCAGGCAATAGTGTCTTTTATAGGTACTATATATAATAGTACGAGGCAACAGTGCCTTTGATGAAGAAAATAGGAGAGGACAATATAGTAGATGAGGAGTGTGATGTTTGCAAGTTAATCTTTTGAAGAAATAATAGTTGATTTGAATACAAATTATGACAGGTTGTGGCTAATGCATGGATCCAAGGAATGTTCAAAAGAAAGAATGCCAATTTCTCAGGCCTCAAGATAGAAACTAGGTTCTTGTTATACGAAGGAGGAGGAAGAAGAAGAAGAAGGAAGAAGTAGTAGTAGAAGAAGAAAAAGGAGAAGAAGAAAGATCATTAATGTGTGGGAACACACATGCATACACACATACACACATGCATACACACATACACACACATGCAAGAAAAGTAGAAAAACATGAAATCAATGTTAGAAGGTATTATATAATGTAAGATCATATTGGCTAGTGTTGGATTTAGATTTTATTCTAATTTCAATGAGAAATCACTGAATTTAAGTCAGAAAGTGATTTGGTTTGAACCAAAAAGACCATCATGCCTGCTTTATGGAAGATAAACTACAAGGCTATATAGTCAGAAGGTCAGAAGTTTATTGCAGTAATCAAAGGCAAGAGAGTATGGTGACAATTTGGAATTACACTGGAAGAATTAACATTCAGAGTACATCTAGATGTGTGGCAATAGGATGTATTGGTGAGTTAATATGGACAATGGAATTGAGATCTAGATTTTTTTGGTCTAGGAACGGGTGTGTAGAATTTTTGTATATGTCAGCAGATGTCCCAATATAATCCAGTCCCTAGCAAAGTCCTCAAGCACTGAGTCTCTTTGGGACTTTCTAACACATTTCATATGTGTTGCCAAAACTCGTTTCTGGAAATAAGCGTGTTCTCTGTGACTCTACTTGGAAAAGACTCTTGGATTCTGTGTTTTCATCCTGAATTCATCCCTTAATGATTTGCTTTGTGTCCTTTAGCTATAATCAACCATGGCTGTGACTATAATTACATGATGAATCTTGTCATCTTCCTATTGAATCACTGAGCCATACAAGACTAATGTATTAAAAGCTGGTGAGTCTGTAAACACTCGAGATAGTGAAACTGGATAAGAAATTAAAGATAGGCTCTGCTTGCTATCACTGTAAGGAATCAGGATCCTTGGGAGATGGGTGAACAGTCAATGAGAGGTAAGAACTGGAGTTTGCTGATAGAGATCAGGGTTTCAGTGATGGCCACAGTAAAAGAGTTCTGTTGGTATTAGTGATTGGAGATTAATCAGAGTAGACATTTCAGGACTTCTTGGAGGTCGAGATCAGTGTATATTGTGGAACCCCATGATAGAGGAATCCACTGGGCAAGTGCCTGGGAGGATCTGCTGATGTTTGGTAATAGAGTTGTTGGCATCAGTCATTCTAGAATTAATTAAGTGGTTAGGAGGGTTGTACTGTGTTGGAGATTGTGAGGGCAGTGGCACTTAGTGTCGGGGGTTATTAAGAGTGCAGACAGGAAGCCTGTGAGGTCGAGATTAGTGACATATCAGTATTGCTAGTCTGTGAGGGTGAGGGATTATCTTTAAATGTACATAGTAATCAATAGTGGATAGTTGAGGCAAAACCAAATTCTGTTGTTCAGATCACTCCTGAACGTGGAGAATTAACGAATTACAGGCTGAATAGGAGTGTGGGAGAAACCAGTAACATCAAAGGTGTGTTTATGGCTTTTACTCAGAAAGAATGGAAGCAGCTGGAACCTGCGCAGAGGAACTTATCAATGGGTAAGAACAATTCCCCATCACTTGGAATGTGTTCACTGCAATTCCTTCTGCCTCAAGTTTCAATGGGTAAGAGCAATTCCCCATCACTTGGATTTTGTTCACTGTGATCCCTTCTGCCTCAAGTCTTCGATGGGTAAGAGCAATCCCCATCACTTGGATTGTGTTCACTGTGATCCCTTCTGCCTCAAGTCTTTGATGGTTTTTTTTTTATTGTTGGTGGTAGTGGTAGTGGTTGTAGTCTGCCTACAACCACTCATTTGTTCCTAGCTTCCCAGACCCGAAATAGTCACAAAGAAACTATATTAATTGAAATACTGCTTAGCCTATTAGCTCAGGCTTCTTATTAACTAATTCTTACATCTTAAATTAACTCATTCCTATTATTTTGTATTTTACCGTGAGGCTTGTGGTTTACCAGTAAGGTTCTGGGGCATCAGTCTCCTTCAGCAGCTACATGACTTTACCTATTCTCTCTCTCTCTCTGCATCTCTGTTCAGATTTTCCACCTGGCTTTACTCTGTTAAGCCATTAGCCAAAAGTGGTTTCTTTATAGCAGTAAAACATATTCATAGCATACAGAGGGGAATCCCACATCACCTCCCCTTTTCTGTTTAATTGAAAAGGAAAGTTTTAACTTTAATATATCAAGATTACATACAACAAAACAGTTTTAGTCCATTTACATTTGGCAAATTAAGGAAAATGCTCTATCATCTATCCTATCTTCGTGAATCTAAAGTTTCATTTCTAATCTATCTTTTATAATTATAACTATCTTTCTTCAACTCTATCAAAGACTCCAAAAGACTATACTATTACCTAAGTAAACAGGGGGTGCATCGCAAGCAACTTCCAAAACTCTAGAATTTATAGAGACATGTCACTGTCTGGACAGTCACCTTAATACTGGAGTATCCATCTTCAGCCCACAGGCCCATAGTATCTGGCAAACTCTTTCATGAAGCAGGAAATTTCAAAGACAGTTCTGCCTATATTGGCATTTTATCTGTCACTTTCTTCTGTGTCCTGCAGAACGTCTGGCAGACTCTTCCATGAAGCAGGAACCCTGAAGGATTGTTCTCACCTTCTTTAGACAATTTTAGCAGTTATTTTTCTATGGATCCTACATGTCCAGTTTATACAGCATTCCATCAAGCAATCCAGGCAAGAGCAGTTTCTTGTCCAAATGGCTAGCCTTGTCACATTGAAGGCAAATTCCACAATGGGTTTCTTCAAGGCCCACCAACCTCTCTGAAGTAATTGGTGCTGCCAGAAGCAGACATGTCTCACTGTCAAGAAAAGTCTTAAGTTCTTAAAACATTTTAAATGCCATATTCTGTATGTCTTTGAAAGATTTGAAGGGTACTTATTCAGCTGAAATATATATATCTCTTTACATCTAGAAAACCTAACTAACATGACTACAAGTTTGACTATTATAAATTACTATCTATTAATCTGTATTTCTTAACTATACATTACATTTTTAAATGAACTGCACAAACACAATACCTTAAACAAGAGCAAATAATATAACAAAATTGACCTAAAATTTTTATCAATAGACCAAGACCAATACAAAATATTCCTCTCCATGTCATATCCCCTTTTAAACGAAAACAAACATTTATAAACAATTTGGAAATTTGAGTGTAGTTCTCTCTAAACTGCTTCCTGCTTTTTGTTGGGCATAGTATTTTGGGGGGGTTCATGGAGACCCTTCGGGAGGGGGGGATATTGGACCATCAAACCACATTAGTCTGGAAGGAATCCACAGGTCTCATCCTCTGTGGAAACAAAAGCAGAACCTCTTTTCCAAAGCAACATATCCTTAGACTCAAATTTTGAAGTCAAGATACCTTTAAGATATATATGTTGGTTTGGCTTAGCAGCCCCCAGAATCAAATCTCTCTGTAGTAAAAAAAAAAATAAAAGAAAACATAATAATATGCATAATCTAGACTCTCTGTATATATTCCATCTTTACATGCCTTGTTTTTCTTTACTCTTTTAATCTATGACTATCTGTACTTTTTTATATTACTTTTACTGTCTCTTTAAAGTCTTTGGTTTTTTTTTTTGTAAAGCTATTATTTCTTCTTATAATTGTCTGTACTCTCTTTCTTTTCTCTCCCAAGCCTATGTACATATTTTAAACACACTATGACCTATTCAGAGGTTTGTTTCTGTCTGAATCTGTCTTTATTGTGTAGCTGTAATCATTTTCTTACCAGGTGAGCAACTTGGTTGTAGTGGCCCTGGATGCTGGCTCACCTTTCTCAGCCTTTCATTATGGTGGAGGTACCTTTACTGCCAACTCTAGGACCTCCAGGTGGGAGCCATGACCACCACCTCAACTCTGGGAAGCTGTTGGCCCATGCTGCCACCAAGTAACTCGCAGCCTGTTGCCCACAAACCCCAGTCAAGTTTCTTAGCCTCCTGAGAGAGTCAGAGTTGTTAGTGCAACTAGCACAAACCAGGAAGCCTTCTTAAAGAGCCGTGCAGGTTTTGTTGCTACTGATGACTCAGGAAGCCTTCTCTTAAAAGAATCATGCCTCTGCTTGCTTCTAGCAAACAGAGTCCACCCGAGAAAATGCTGCTACCAAAAAAGCTGTGCTTAACTCTGCTTTTTTTGTGTCTAGAATTTCTTCCTAAGATCTCTCAGGTTTTAAGTGGATGTAGTCAGCCCCATGTTGAGTACTATGTTGTAGGTGGAGACTGCTCATTCATTCCTAGCTGCCCAGACCCGAAATAGCCACACAGAAATTATATTAATTAAAATACTGATTGGCCTATTCGCTCAGGCTTCTTATTAATTAATTCTTACATCTTAAATTAGTTCATCCCTATTAGTTTGTATTTTACCACCAGGCTCATGGTTTACTGGTAAGGTTCTGGGATGTCTGTCTCCTTTGGTAGCTACATGGCCTCTTCTTGATTCTGCTCTCTCTCTCTCTCTCTCTCTCTCTCTCTCTCTCTCTCTCTCTCTCCATCTCTGAATTTTCCACCTGGCTTTACTCTGTTAAGCCTTTGGCCTTAAATAAAGCAGCTTCTTTATTAATCAATGGCAATAAAACATAGTCACAGCATACAGAGGGGAATCCCACACCAGGTGGTAGTGGTAGTGAGTCAAGGAGTTTCAATCCCTTTTTGGTACTAGGAAGAACACTTGGAGACATTGCCTTCAAAAGGGAAGGTCTATACTCAGTTGAAGCACACAGATATCCCTATTGTGAAACATTAGAAGTCATATATGTTTATTAGCCTTGAAAGGTCCTGAAGTACAAGCACAAGGGCTTGATTTCTGAGATGAGATGGTTGGTCCTACACTCAGTTTCTACCTTTTCTTATGAGTAGAAAATCAAGATCCCAAACAAGGCATGATCTCTAAGTTGGAAGAAGAAGAAGAGTCATCACTGGGAGAGGCGAAAACAACCAGCTCACATAGTGTGAGCAAAGTAGCATGGCCCAAGAAATCAGGAGCCAATGAAAGTAAGTTTTTAGTTTCTTGGTGCTAAGTTTGGAATTCTTCAAAGAATAACTTGTAAATTTTTATTAGGGCTGGGGAGACAGCTCAACATAGAGAGTGCTTCTTCACTGTGCAAGGACCTAGATTAAAACCCCAATTTGAAAAAAAAATCTTTTTTCTTAAAAGTCCCAGATTTTCTTCTCTTAACCAGGAAATAGGAGAAAAAGAATTCAAATTACAAATATTTTTTTTTCTTGGAGATTCTAATATCTCCTCTTTCTGTGAACTTGTCGACATGAGAGGCTCATGACAAGCTCTTGTTTTTTTTGGAGAAGAAAAAAATGGGTGGGTAGAACCACTTAATTCCTAAAACCCCTGCGTGGATGTGGTAGCTATCCATTTCAGGTAGAATGGTCAGAGCAAGCCCCGTGGTTCAGTGGGGGAGGCATGCCACTGGGAAGGCCCGGGGGCATGACCGTCACTATTCTGACTGTGACGAGGGACTGAACCTGCAGTCGCTGATTCCCTTCACTTAGCTCCTAGCCCTGTCCATGTGCCCATTGCTTAGCTGTCAGAAGACTCCACCTGGGCTCTCAACCTCATTCCTGTTTACCATATTTAGAAAAGAGTCCTCTTCTGCCCTCTACCCACGCACCAATTCCCTAATGTATGACATTTTCTCCTGATAAATTTGGACATTCTTAGGTTCTTCTGCATCTCGGAATGATGCCCTTGCTCCTAATGGTTTTGTTTCCTTCCTTTCACTACAGAGCTTCCTCTACCCGTGTTCCATAAGACATCATCACGTCCATTTGTCCCTAATCCCTGTGATGACTTGAATGAGTTGTTCCCCATTGTCTTGGGCTTTTGAATGCTTGGTTCCCAGTTGGTGGCACTGTTTGGGGAGGCTTAGGAGGTGTGAACTGTTTCCTGCTTCCTGCTCCATGCCTGTCCCTTGCTTCCATATCTCCCTGCCATGACAGACTCTTATCTGTGATAGCAATAGGAAAGTAGTTAATATGATTAATATAGCCAACCTGCTTACCCTCTAATGCACATGTTAATAACTTTGATTAACCTTAAATTATTGCCCTTTCTTTAATTAGCAAGTTTACTCACCAGCTTCCCTGTATTTGCCGATGGTTCCTTCAGGTCCCAGCTTCCCTGTCTGTCTTTGCTGATAGTTCCTTCAGGTCCCAGCTTCCCTTTCTTTGCTGATGGTTCCTTCAGGTCCCAGCTTCCCTGTCTGTCTTTGCTGATAGTTCCTTCAGGTCCCAGCTTCCCTTTCTTTGCTGATAGTTCCTTCAGGTCCCAGCTTCCCTGTCTGTCTTTGCTGATGGTTCCTTCAGGTCCCAGCTTCCCTTTCTTTGCTGATAGTTCCTTCAGGTCCCAGCTTCCCTGTCTGTCTTTGCTGATGGTTCCTTCAGGTCCCAGCTTCCCTGTCTTTGCTGATGGTTCCTTCAGGTCCCAGCTTCCCTGTCTGTCTTTGCTGATGGTTCCTTCAGGTCCCAGCTTCCCTGTCTGTCTTTGCTGATGGTTCCTTCAGGTCCCAGCTTCCCTGTCTGTCTTTGCTGATGGTTCCTTCAGGTCCCAGCTTCCCTGTCTGTCTTTGCTGATGGTTCCTTCAGGTCCCAGCTTCCCTGTCTGTCTTTGCTGATGGTTCCTTCAGGTCCCAGCTTCCCTGTCTGTCTTTGCTGATGGTTCCTTCAGGTCCCAGCTTCCCTGTCTGTCTTTGCTGATGGTTCCTTCAGGTCCCAGCTTCCCTGTCTGTCTTTGCTGATGGTTCCTTCAGGTCCCAGCTTCCCTGTCTGTCTTTGCTGATGGTTCCTTCAGGTCCCAGCTTCCCTGTCTTTGCTGATGGTTCCTTCAGGTCCCAGCTTCCCTGTCTTTGCTGATGGTTCCTTCAGGTCCCAGCTTCCCTGTCTTTGCTGATGGTTCCTTCAGGTCCCAGCTTCCCTGTCTTTGCTGATGGTTCCTTCAGGTCCTGTCTCCTTATGTTCTGTCCCTCTGTTGCCCACTGTCCAACAGGCACCCATTATGTAAATACAAGCTCATTTTCTACATTGGCATCTTCTAAGGCCTCTGTCATACTACATGTCAAGTGGATAGGTCTTGATCACTTTCTTTCAAGAAGGAAGTTTGTCCCTGTCTTCCCCATCATCACTGGGTATCAGAAGACTTGGCTTGGCATGGTGCCTGGAAGATCCTGTTTATCTTCTTATCCCAGGATGCTGAACCTCTTAAGCGTCTCTGGATGAAAAACAGCCATCATTTCAACTTCTCTGGGCTCCCTACTACATCTGACTCAGTCCAAACCTGCCTCGGCCTCCGTCTCTGTCTGGCTCTCTGTCTCTTCAGATGGGTCTCTATTATGTAGCCCTGGCTAGCCTGGAACTCACAGAGATCCACCTGCCTCTGTCTCATGAGTGATGGGATTTAAGATGTGTGTCACATACCCCACCAGAAAACAAATCTCTTAAATGCCCTCCATAAAAATGAGAATTTCAGCCCTTGTTCCAGATACCATATTTTCTCCATGTAAAATCCCTTTATCACTCTTACATGTTTTTCTCTTCAAATGTTTAAAATTCTTATTTCTGATGGCTTCCCTACTCCATTTCTATGTAGAGAATCAGTGTGTGGGGAAGCCTTGTGCAGAAGGCAAGTAGTCTTAGCGAAGAGGAACAATGTTTTAAGATTTCTGTAAATGTAATTGTGAAATATGCAGGAGAAAGATGTGAGCAAGTACTGAGACCTATATACATACACTTAATATATCTGATGATTTTGCAGTTAGAAGGACAGGAACTAGAGGTATGTACTTGAAAGTAAACTTGAAAAACAGGTGGGTGTGCACTGTAAACCCAAATGGCATAGAGTATTTCCCAAGCTAATTACTAGGAATCTCATGGCCTTATAAAGGCATCAGGGAACTGAGAGGAACTATGAAGCTTTTGTTTAGTAAGATGTCCTTGCTCCATTGCTCATGGATGGGAACAGTGGACATCCTCTCCTGCTTAGTGTCTCAGTCATCTATTAGTTCCTTGGGTCTCCTTGGCAGACATATTCTCTATTTTAGTTTATTTTAGCTGGCCTTAATAAATAGAGGGATTTATTGAAGAGACTTGGGTATATCTCTCATAACCTAAAGGCAGAGACTTTAGCCAGACTCCACCAGGAGCAAGAATTGGCAACTTGGAGGTCACAGGAATTGAAATTATGCACACTGTATTCTTGAGGACAAATAGTCCTACATTTCTACTTCTTTCTGTGTGTGTATGCTTCATTCTTTGTGTTGAAAGCTCTTTATTACATAGGAGAATCGTGCCTTTCACAGTACTTGGATTATGTCATCTTAATCACAAGGGAGAGACTGGTAATGTCTTGCCATGTAGCCCAGGCTGATCCCAAACTTATGAAAACCCTCTGTTTCAATCTCCCAAGTACTGGGATTAACAGGCACATGCCACCTTACCTGGCATAATCACAAAGTCTTTTAACTTAATGCATTCCTTATTCGGATCTCCTTATGTCTATCCGCCTTCTATCCCAACCTTCAAGATTCTCTTTCTAAGCAGCCAAAGCTTTCCCTAACGACTACTCTTAGTTTTCTTTCCCCTGACATTCCTACAGCTCTCTCCCCTCAGGCGAATAGAGACAGTCATCCTAAATGAGTTATTTCACATTGGCACATTAGGCTTGAACAAGTATCCAACCCCAACCAGGGCATCTCTTTATGAATCTTATAAAGAACTTCAGTGGGAGTGTAAAAACTTACAAGAATGTCTTATTAAATTCTCTTTTAGAAGTCCAACAAGCTGATGATCACATAGAGGAAAAGCAGAAATCTCGAGGCAAGCTCATTGAGGAAGCTACACTCAAGAAGAAAAATTCAACTAGTAAGAAAAGCAGTGCATGTGCTTTGTTGGAGAAAAAAAAAGTCAGTACAAAACATGCTCCTTCAAAAAAAAAGCTTCCAAAATCCGATTCACATGGAAAGAGCTTAAAGCAGAATTTAGATTTACCTGATCAGATTAAAAACACCACAAAAAAGAAATCGGATACAGCTAAAGAACACACGAAATCATTCAGCCACACCATAGCTGAAACAGCAAAAGATAAAATTCCAGCCAGAGAGAAATGTGAGAAAATCCTCAACAAAAAGTTGCCTGGTAAAGGTGACAGAAATCACACTGGCAAGAGATGTGAGAAAGTGTACCATCGTAGCTCATCTCACAGTAAAGAAGACAAGATCCAGGCTGGAGAGAGACAGAAATCATCTAGCCGTAGTTCACCTACCAAGTCTGAGAAAGCTCCAGCTTCTGGGAAGCCTTATAAATGCAATCACTGTGGGAAGGTCCTCAGCCATAAACAAGGACTCATTGACCATCAAAGAACTCACACCGGGGAGAAACCATATGAATGTAATGAGTGTGGGATAGCTTTTAGCCAGAAGTCCCACCTGGTTGTACATCAGAGAACTCACACTGGAGAAAAACCATATGAATGTGTTCAGTGTGGCAAAGCTCATGGTCATAAACATGCCCTCACTGACCATCTAAGAGTTCATACTGGAGAAAAGCCCTACGAATGTAATCAATGCGGAAAAACCTTTAGACACAGCTCCAACCTTATGCAGCATGTAAGATCGCACACAGGTGAGAAGCCTTATGAGTGTAAGGAATGTGGCAAATCCTTTAGATATAATTCATCTCTTACTGAACATGTGAGAACACACACAGGTGAAATACCATATGAATGCAATGAATGTGGCAAAGCTTTTAAGTATAGTTCATCCCTGACTAAACACATGCGAATCCATACTGGCGAGAGACCATTTGAATGTAATGAGTGTGGGAAAACTTTTAGCAAAAAGTCCCACCTGGTTATACATCAAAGAACTCATACAAAGGAGAAACCTTATAAATGTGACGAGTGTGGGAAAGCCTTTGGACATAGTTCATCCCTTACTTACCATCTGCGAACTCATACAGGCGATTGCCCCTTTGAATGTAATCAGTGTGGTAAAGCCTTTAAGCAAATTGAAGGCCTTACTCAACACCAGAGAGTTCATACTGGTGAGAAACCCTATGAATGTCCCGAGTGCGGGAAAGCCTTTAGTCAAAAGTCACACCTCATCGTGCACCAGAGAACTCACACAGGGGAGAAGCCCTTTGAATGCTATGAGTGTGGGAAAGCCTTCAGTGCAAAGTCCCAGCTTGTTATACATCAGCGATCCCACACGGGAGAGAAACCCTATGAATGTGATGAGTGTGGGAAAGCCTTTAAACAGAATGCTTCTCTTACCAGACATATGAAAAGCCACTCAGAAGAGCAATCTAATGAGGAAAATTAATGTAGGAAATCTGACGACTGACTGGTTTGGTCTCGTTCAATGTTAAAAGATGGTCTCAACTTGATGTAGGTTAGAAAATCTTTTTTAAGGACATTATTCCTTGTTATACATGAGAGAATTTGAATATGGATCTTTACATAATAGCAATTGATTAATAATAAAATTTAAACTTGATCCTAAACCTATACAGAAAATACTGTATTTTTACACTTGTTATAAATTATCTCCATATTAGAGCAAAATATGAATCTTAAAAAATGTGAATAAGGATTTGGGGAGATAATCAGTAAAATTATTCCTGAGCAAGTATGAGGACCTGAATTCCACCCTTAGGATCCCTGTGCTTGCAATCTCAGAACTGGGAAAGTTGAGACAGGAGAGTCCTTGAAACTACCTGACCAGACAGACTAGCCAAATTTGCAAGCCATATGTCACAGGGAGGAAATCTGCTTTAAACAAGATACAGTTATCCTGAGGAAAATACATTTGGCATTTGGCCTGCACATATGCACTCACACATATGACCACAAACACACAAAAGTGTGAAAATATTATTATAGTAACAAATGACCAGTAAAATATGCCAAGAATTCATGAGCTATTAGGCTGTTGTGTACTGAAGCACCACAATTAGTATTCAATCTGTATTTATGCTTTTGCATACTTACTGCCTTGTTTAAAATAAAAGTGTGGTTATCCCCTCTGGTATGATCTAGCTTTCTTTGCTAATGTCTATGTTGGCTCTGAATCAGTAGAAAACTTACTAGGTTTTTTTTTTTTTTTGTTGAAGTAGCATCTCACTGTGTAGTCCTAGCTAGCCTAGAACTTGCTATGTAGACCAAACTGGCTTCAAACTAACAGAGATGTGCTTGTCCCTGCCTCCCAAGTGCTGGGATTAAAGGCTTGAATAGAAAATTTTGTGGGGTTTTGTCTAGATGTTATTAATGAGAGGTTAAGGAAAAGCTGGAAAATGCTGGTAGAGAATGATGCTCAAGTTATGTTGTTAAGCACAGACAGTGGATACAGTATATTCTCACTGTGGACAAAGAGGGTGTGTTTGCCTGTCTTTTCCTGCCTCTTTGTGTACAAATGTAATTATACGCATATATTTGTATATGAATAGACTTGTTTTTTTAATCTAGAAGAAACTTTAGTGGTTACCACTGAACACAGAAGTACAGGATTGAGGTCTGACATTTTTATCGTGTACATGTGTTATATTCAAATATATATTAAAATACTTTTATATGCACAAATTAACACAGTTAAAAATACAACTCAGTCCATTCCACAGTGTTGTTTGACAAAGTAACATAAGGTTTCTATGCTCATTTATGAACAATGAATTTGTGGTATATGGCACTAAACCTTGATATTGCATTCACACAAAGATTGTCCTTTTGAACACAGGTTTTGTTAACATAACGATTCACACCTGTAACAGTATTTTACTTCCCTTGTTTGCTATTAAACTGAAGAATAATTCTGGGTACAAATGAATGAAAGTGGCATTTTGAACCATCATTCCATTTTATTTCATATTCAGAGTGTTCATTAACAAATGTCTTAGTCAAGGATTTCAGCTGTATTTCAACAAATGTCTCCATACCTTGTTCTTGCCCACTGAGCAGATATTGTTGATGGATCACTCACTCTGCTTCTCTCAGAGTCTGTTTCAGAATGTCAAGGTTCTGCCTGTCACTTTGACTTTGTTCAAGAGACCTGTCTGCCATTTCATCCTTTACTAGCTGGTGTTAACTGCTGTGATCAAACACCATGACTAAAAGCAACTTGTTGAGAAAGGGGTTTATTTCATCTTACAGCTTCTAGTCCGTTCTCCATGGAAGCCAAGGCAGGGACTGAAGGCAGAGGCCGTGGAGGAGTACTGCTCGCTGGCACGCTTCTCATAGCTTGCTCAGCCTGTACTTTTGTACATAAGGTGACAGCCGAGGGCTGCACCTACCACAGCGAACTGGGCACTGTCTCATGCATCGTCAATCACGGAGAAGCAGCGCAGCTTTTCTCATGGGCATTTTCTCAGCTGACGTTTTTCACACATTCGCAATCCAGCACATAGGAAGCTGATTCAGGAAGATCACAACTTTGAAGCAAGCTTACCAAATACAGGCCCCATCTTGCTCCTTTCTCCCCCAAGAAAATATTTGGTTTTGTGTTACCTTTTATATTTTCACAGCATAGTCACTAACGCCTATCTCAAGAGAGCCATGGCCCAGTCACTAGAACTTTTCCAGTTTGATTCGGTTCCCCGTAAATGTTTTATGTGCATCGTGGTCTAGCATAATAATAGGTCCTAAACAAAAAGGGATCAGATGCTCTCTGCACAGGCTTCATTCTTGTTCCTGCCTTCCTGACTTCATTTCAGAGAACAATAAAGTATAAATATAGACAAAGCAAAGTGTGTGTGTGCACATGTACATGTTTGTGTTGGAAGATTACCTTATGGTTATTGGGCTCCCATTTTCAAATATCTGGTTCACTCTTGGGTGAAGAAAGTGCACCGGTTAATTTCTCACCAAATGTAAGTCTGGCACTGTGCACAGAGCTAGAAAGAGCTTCATCTTTTAGGATAAAAAGTTGTCGGTTATGGATCTGTTTACCTTTCATGCCTTTTGAAGAACCTGCAATAGTGCCATACTTAAGATAATCAGAAGTTTAGGGATATCTGAACAGTTATCTCTGTTAAGGAGATGTTAGTACTTAAAATTATTTGTAGTAAAACTTATCATTGGTGAATGAAAAAAAATGTCTAAAAGAACTAGATGTCAGGACTGAGGGGTGTCTCAGGAGGCATTGGGATAAAATGAGGATCTGAGTCTCGATCCCCAGTAGCTACATAAAAGCCAGACAGGCTGGCACTGTCTATAAACACGTTGAGACTGTGGGTGAATCCAGGGGCATACTGTCCAGCTGTCTCCACGTTCAGTGAGAGACCCTGTCTCAAAAACAGAAAGTTGAGAGCAAGAGGAAGACAGTTGACATTACCCTCTGGCCTGCACTAACCTATGCATGGGCAAGTACATCTTACACACACACACACACACACACACACACACACACACACAGAGAGAGAGAGAGAGAGAGAGAGAGAGAGAGAGAGAGAGAGAGAGAGGGAGAGGATGATGTGAGCAGTGAAAAAAATAGAGCCTAAACCAAAAATATACAAGCTTTAGTCCTCAGAGTTTCCTGAAGTAGGACACCGACTTTTTAAATGCAAAATCTTGAATCCCACCACAGATTAATTTAAATTCTAAAACTTATGTTTTCATTTTCCTCACATCTAAGACCAAGAGGGGCAGGGCATTTACATCCTGTTCATGAGCCTAATGCGTCTGCGTTACAGGCTGGAGCACCTCTCTTGAGAAATGAAACTGAAGCTCCTAGACACTGTCATCCAGCAGCATCCCTGATTGGAGGTCAAACTACAGCTCCCATTCATTTTCAGTTTTTATGTGCACCAAATTCAGCTCCTAATCAGAGAATCCCAAATTTCGCTTCCCCACAGCTGTCAGAATTCTTTGCCTAGCTGCAGACATGAGCTGATGCATGTGACAGTTGTGATTGTGTTCCTTGTATCTTTGTTGTGTAACAGTTTTCTTCATGGTCTAAAGATCTGACTCGGGGAGTCCTGAAGAAGACCTCTTTAAAGCTTAGAATGCAGTGCAGGAGGCTCAGTGCACAATGACACTGGTTTCTCTTCCAGAGGACCCACGTTTGATTCCAAGAACTCACGTGACAATTTTACAACTGCAAATCCTGTTCCAGGATTTCAATGGCCTCCTCTGTTCTCACCCTGGTGCACAGAAATATATGGAGACAAAAGACCCACTGTTGGATCACACTGAGGACCCTGAGTTAGCATTTGCATTAATTAAACAAAATTAACCTTGGATCAGGAGGCTGAGTTAGCAACTAGCTGGCAGAATCTATAGAGCATCAGAGGGCATCTGGAGAGATAGAGAGAAACTCCAGAAGTAGTGGGGAGGGATTTTGAGAGGCCTGGATTTTTGTTGTTGTTTTGGTGGAGCAAAGGGTGTGATTTTTTGGAGACACCAACAAGGAGAGAATGTTAATTAGTTGCTCCTCAATCTCTCTGTGCTACAAGGTTTTCACCCCAGCCTTTGAATCTCAAGTCTTATTTATAAATAGGACAATAGAAATTTAGCTAAAGCTACCTTAAGCAGCAGCAGCAGCAGCAGCAGCAGCAGCAGCAGCAGCAGAATTCCTGCCATGCTGTGGCCTGAGCAGTCAAGCCAGTGCCAGAGAAGCAGACCGGTAAGTTTGGAGTCACAATTGCTGTCTGAAATAGCAGTAGATTAAGGCACAGTCTCTGTGCAGAAGATAAAACAACCCACACATATAAAAGTAGATTTTAAAAAAGATTCGGGATATAACAACTCTCAAGTCTCAGAAAATCCCTGAAACCAGATCTACAAGTTCCCACAAGGTTATGGAAGCAGTAATGACTGCTGAGTGACCAAACTCTCTGATCTGTTGGTGCTTGCAAGTCAAGCTCCAGAGATCTGTGAGCCCATCCTGTGCTGGGCTTTCACTGTGCTGCCGCCTTCAAATCACCCAAGCTCTTATAAGTTATCTCTTACCATACACCTGTAAGAACCCCTAAGAAACCCATGGGCTTCGCAGCTGGACGCTAGAGGGAAGTGACCTTGAGCTGTCATTGGTTATTTTAGCTGTGAGTAGAAGAGTGTCAGCAGCCATCTGTATTCATCCCTCAAGGTCAGCACCGACACAAATGACGGTTAAATTTCAACGTGGCTTTGGAGAACACATTCAAATCACTGCCTTGTGTCAGAAGCCTAGGAGCCTATTTTGTATTTTTTAATTTTATTTTAACATGTGTGTCCCAGGAAATTGTGAGTTTGAGGCTAGCCTGTGCTACATAATGAGGTCTTCTATCAAGACAAATGAAAAACAACAAAAAAATAACCAGCAGCAACAATAAACATGGATCATGGGAAAAAGAGAATGAGTTAGACCACCAGATTTGGGGGAGAAAAGTGAAGGAGGACCAGGGAACCTAGGGCCCAGTTGGAGAGAACTGACCTCTTTAAGAAGGGCTGCTC